TTTGTTTATTTAAAAAAGGGAACATTTCATAAACTGAGGTAATCTGATCATTTTTGGTCTGGTGGGCGGCTTGCGACGCGCAGCACTTCACTTTTTCTGACCCTTCCCGGTCCCAGGTTGGTCCCGGGCAGGAGCACCACGTCACACAGCACATACTCTCTCACTCTCTTTCTCTCCCAATCACTCACGCAAACACACGACATTCACACACGCGTCTCCACGCACGCGGGGGCGTCAAGGTGAAAGGCTTGGATACGGAGAGGGCGTCGCCTCAAGCGAGGCCTCTAGGACCACGACGGCGCCAGCTCCGGCTCCATGGCCTCCACCTTGGGGGCGTGCCACTATTGGGCCTTGTCCTGCTTGAGCCCCGCGAGGAGGTGCTCGCCCACCATGGGCTGGTGCGCGTAGTTCCGGATTTGGTGCAGCGATATGAGCTGGTTGGGGAAGGAGGATCCACCCTGCTGGCCGCCTAGGCCGGGGCCCATGCCCCCGCCGCCCATCTTGCTGCCGGGGAAGGACAGCGAGTCGTAGGGGATGTAGGCGGGCCGGGCTGCCGCGGGCGGCATTCCCAGCTGGTGGGGGTTGAGGTGCACGCTGCCGAGGTGGTGGTGCGGCGGCAGCGCTCCCATCGACTGGATGGGCGTGAAGGCCGACGTGGACGAGGGCGTCGACGTCTTGATGCCGAGGTGCTCGTAGCCGTTAGGCACCGAGGACGGCGTCGACACTATCACCTGCTGGGGTGCGGGGGTGGGCGACGAGCCGGGGTTGTGCTGTTGGTGCTGCTGTTGCTGTTGGTGCTGCTGCTGTTGCTGCTGCGACCGGCTCACCACCAGGTCCTCGCCGCTGTCCCCCGAGCCCGCGCCCCCGCTCGGTGTCTGCTGCGAGGGCGGCGCCCCCACCGGCGTGCCGTTCATATGCCTGTGGTGCTCCATGAGGGCGCGGTGGTGCGAGCCCACCATGTGGTGCTCCCCGAGCATGCCGTTGTGCTGCTGCTGTTGCTGCTGCTGCAGGCACGCCTCCATGCGCTCGTGCTGGCTGATGGCGTCCACGAGCGAGTTGGCCGTGTCTGGCGACACCTTGGGCCAGTACGCGTGCTGCGGGTGGGGGTGCTGGGGCTCGGGGAGGTTGTTGTTGTTCTGGACGTGGGGGTGGCCGCCGGGTCCCGGCGTGTGGGGGTGGCCGGGGTGCTGCCCGACCTGGCCAGGCCCGCCCGGCGCCCCCGGGCCCTGGCCCGCGTGCATCTGGTGCACGGCGTTGCGGCCCAGCCCGATGATGGGCGGCCGCTTATCCGTGCGCTCGGCGTGCTTTTGCATGTGCTTGTTGAGGTACGTCTCCTGGGTGTACGACTTCCCACAGTACTGGCAGATGTGCGTCTTGAGGTGCTTGGACTCCTTGTGCTTGGGGATGTGCTCCAGCAGCGAGGGCTCGTCCACGAAGCACTTGTAGCACGAGTTGCACTTGTAGGGCTTGTCCGTCTGGTGGCACCGCGAGTGCGACTGGAGGTTGGAGAGCTGTGAGAAGGCCTTGTTGCAGCCCGGGTGCCGGCACTTGTAGGGCTTGTCGCCCGTGTGCGTCCTGATGTGCTGCTGCAGGTGCGACAGCTGGGTGAACTTGCGCTGGCAGATCTCGCAGCGGTACGGCTTGATGCCGAGGTGGATGCGCGTGTGCTGCGACAGGTAGCTCGAGTTGGCGAACGTCTTGGAGCACTGCGAGCACTTGTACGGCTTGGCCTCCCGCATGTGCAGCTGCGTGTGCATCTGCAGGTCCGCCTTGGAGCCGAAGATCTGCAACAGGATAGAGAGGAACACGATCAGCAAGAGCAGAGTCGGAGGGATGTACGTGTGGCCACCCTAAGGTCGTGCCCGTTTGGCTGCCTTCCCACCGGGCGGCACGGCACGTACGATGGGCTGCCTACCCGCCCGGCGGCTGCCGGGGCCGGGCGAGCGCCAGCGACGCTGGCAGCCCAACGCACGCGGCCAGAGGCCAGCGCCCCGCGGGCGCGGTCACCGCATTCCCATATCTCGTATATACACTTTCCAATTATTTAACCGACAGATCACTCACCTCGGGGTTGCCGTGGTCGACCGCGTGCCACCCGAGACCGTCCCGGCCCTTGTTGATGCCGCCCCGCTTCCGACCTCGGCCCTGAAAACAAAGAAAAAACGGAACCCCTTATCAATCTGCTCGTCAATCCACACTCAGTGTCATTGGCCCCGCCCCTCGGCCGGCGCGCACAGGTCAGCACCACGAATAGCGACACGCAAGTTTCTGCCTCCTGCCTCTATTCAGACGTATCGAGGGGGCCCCCTTCCTCACTCTCCCTCAAGACGCTTTCAGAAGTCTCTGCCCCCGCGATTGATTCAGAGCCACTCCCAGCACCTGTCCACCCCCAGCAGCAATCGGATATATCGTATTTGCAAAGCGCTCCACAAAGGCCGTCCAGCTAATCCCCTCGAGCCCGGGGCCGGGGACGCCAACAGGTCGGTCATCGGCGGAAGTAGTGCATCCACCTTCTTATGCGCGACACGCTGCTGACAGATTGGAGCCCGTCCGCCCGCAAACGTACGAGTGTGTGTGTGTGACTTTGGGATTCCATTATTTTGATTTTGTGCCTGGTCGGCTGGCACACGACTTGCTGCACACAGTTTGTTCGCTATCTCGCTCCCGCACTCCCACACGGTTCGACATCCGACCTCTCTCTCTCTCTCTCTCTTTTATTCTTCCTCTTCCCGTACTACATCCTTTTGCCATTGAGAGGATCAGGGAGGAGCAGGGAGCAGGGCGCCCGACAGGGGCAAAGGGAGGAAGCCTCACGGGAGAGAGAGAGGACGCGACCAGAGATTACGGCACCGCGAAGACCAGGAGAGGGCGGAGGGAGTTTGGGAGAGAGGAGAGGAGGGAGGGGTAGGGGCTCGGAGGAAAAGGAAGCCGCGGGGCTGCTGCTGCTTGGCAACGTGTATCGAGTGCGATTGAGTCATGAAGCGGCCGCATGGCAGGCGCCCCCCCGCGCACCTCGACGCTTGACCGCGCACGTGCCCGTCTATGGGGACCGGCCGCTAGACTGGCTAGATAAGCGGCCACGACCTCTGACCACCGAGATAGATAGATAGATAGATAGATAGATAGATAGATAGATAGATAGATAGATAGACGCCGCGTATCCTGGGCTCCATTCGCGGCGCGTCGCGCGCGCGACGCGCATCGCTTTTCGTAATAAATGATTTCTTGTCTTTTTTTACGGCGGGGCGTGGTGGGGGGCGGGGCGGGGCGGACGCGATGCGGCGCGGCAGATGTTGCGCGCGCCACGACGACGGGCGGCATGCAGGCGATGCCGCGTCGCTGCAGAAAACATCACAATGACTGCCATAACCATTTCTGCCACAGCAGCGTTGGCGGCTGGTCGGCCTCCTGGAGGAGAAGGAGCGGGTCTTGATCTTGTCCGAGGCCAGAGCAGGCGAGATATGCTGCTTGGACGTCGTCGGTGCGGTGAGCTCCGGATGGGCAGTCAGGAAACCTTTTCCCTTCCCGCGGTGTAGAGGACACACACACACTGCGCGGGGTCACCCGAGTCTGCAAGCCCAGTGCGTGCGAAACTCTCGCCGCGCATCAAAAGAGGGGAGCATCTTCCTTCCTGGACAGGGGGAGGCAGCCCCGCGGCCCGGGGGTTGCACAACCTCGTTGCGCCACTATTTCTGCTGGCCCGGGCGCGGGAGCGCGGCGGCAGCCACCCCGAGGCCCGCGGGCGGGGCTGTCTGTGAGTCCAGGAGGACCACCGGACAACTCCCTGGCTCTCCTTCGGTCGGTACAGTACAGTAGCCGCGAGCACCATTGAAAGGGAAGGGAAAATAAAAAGCAGCTGGCGAGGTGCGGCCAAAAAAAAAAAGCTACGTCGAGGGACGTATCGTGAAAGCAGATGATACAAATTTAAGGATATG